ACACACACACACACACACACACACACACACACACACACACACACACACACACACACACACACAGTAACACACCTTGAGCATGGAGTTTGGCAATTTCCTCCATCATAGTATCCTGAGTCTCTTCCAGCTGCCGTTTCTTCTGCTCCATGTTCTGCAGGTCTTCAGCCAAAGACTCCAACTTGGCCCGAAGCTGCACAAAAACACACAAAGTAACAAGAAACAAAACCTGACAACACATTTCTATCCTTTATCCAGTCAGTCTGCAGCAGCGTGGTTTCCAGGTTTGTTCTTAAAGCTTTAAATATGACATAAAATATTGTGATGTGAAGAAATCCCTCCAGCTGATGCTGATCAGGTTGAACAGGTGTGTTTACCTGTGAGACCAGCAGCTGGTGGCTGCTCAGCTCCCTTCCATTGGCCTCCATCTTACAGGTGTTCTCTGTCAGGTTGATCTCCAGCTGTTTGCTGCGGCTCACCAGAGATTTGACTTCAGACTTCATCTTACTAACATAAAGACGAGCTGTGGTGAACTCCTCCTCCATCACTCCACTCACTTCAGCCATCTGAGCACAGAGATGACAGACTGTGTGAAGCTTCACAGGCCTGCTGAATCCATTCAGAACATCTCAAACAGAACAGTTTCTACTGTTGGTACTTCCAACAACTTCTGAGTAGAATTTCCTCTGACTTACAGTAACCTACAGAAACTAACATGTGACATGTATTAAAGTGTTTTTGTAGAAAAGTTAGAAAAGTCTTACAGCTTTGAGCTCAGTGGTCCCGAGGACACTGCCAACTTCACTGAGGTCTCTGAGCAGAAGACTGAGGATCTCAGCAGACCTCTTCTTCTGGTGAGAGCTGAGCTCCTGAAGACCAGACAACTCTCTCTGGACCGCCTCCAGACTCACCTGGAACCACAGAGCAAAGCAACAAAACCAATCACAAAGCTTCTTCTCCTGATGTCCTGCTGAACTGAAACAAGTTAACATTTACTGAGTGCTGTGTCTGTTAACATGTTAACACATTTACTGAGTGCTAGGTCTGTTAACATGTTAACACATTTACTGA